CCCTTAATGCGGGTGTATCTGTATCGGAAGTACTTCAAGCTATCAAATCCTTACGGTCCTCCGCGGCCCCTGACGGATTCTCCGGCCTCTATTACAAGAAATGTGCGACCCTGTTGGCACCTTTCTTGGCTAATTACTTCAGTGAATTACAAAAGGGCTCCTTGCCCTCCCTGGACACACTCTGAGCTCATATCTCAATGACTCCTAAGACGACAGAGGATGTACAGGAACTAAAAGCTTTTCAGCTCATTTCTCTTCTTAACAAAGATTTGAAGATATTGGGAAAAATTCTCAGTCTTCATATCAATAAATAATTACATAGCCTGGTTCACAGGGACCAAGTGGGTTTCATCCCTGGGAGGCAGGTGGGCGACCATGTTCGTAAGGTGATTTATCTCATACACCTTCTGCAACAGCGGAAAATTCCGGGGATCTTGCTGTCCTTGGACATATATAAAGCTTTTGATTCCTTATCTTGGGAATACCTTTGGTTCGTGTTGTCCCACTGGGGCTTTGGAGATTTTATTCTTTCTTGGATCCGGGCCTTGTATTCCTCCCCTTCGGCTTCAGTTAAATATGTGGGGTATTTCTCAGATCCTTTTCCTATTTGGCGAGGGACAAGACAGGGATGCCCCCTGTCCCCGGCACTCTTTGTACAGGTGCTTGAACCGTTGGCTTTGGCTCTCTGGGCTGATTGTAACATATAGGGGTTCTACTAAGCAGGACAGGAATTTTAAGTTGAATCTTTTCGGTGATGATGACCTCTTGACTCTCACTAATCCCCTGACGACACTCCTGAACTTGCAACAGGTTCGTGTGCGGTTCTTCTTGATTTTGGGTCTTCGGATATATTTAGATAAGACTGACGCTCTCTGCATCGCTTTGGCCTCGGATATGGTTTCATTTTTACAGTCCCACTTTCCTTACAAATGGGCTCCCTCCTTGCTCGAATATTTTGGGCATTCATCTAACTCCCACCTATGGCTTTTTGTTTGCTGCAAACTATTTTCCGTGGCTTTGATCCTTGTCATCTCTTATGCGCTCTAGGCAATTCCCACACCTGTCCTGGATAGGATGGGTTAATTTGGTAAAAATTGTTATATTACTTTAGCACCCTTCCAGTGCCAGTTCCTTCCTATTTTCTCCAGCTGCTTTAGGCACAGATTATGCGATTTATGTGGGCTGACAGACACCCTAGAGTCTCTAGAGAAATGCATTTTGCTCATAAGCTGCAGGGCAGTCTTGGGGTGCCTAATGTAGCTAGGTATTACCAGGCGAGCCAAATCACCCCACTGTCTATGTTGCACGCTTGCTCTGTTGTTTCCCTCTGGGTTCTTTTGGAACTGCCTAATTGTGAGCCTATTGAGACATCAACCCTTGTATGGCTCCCCCATACTCTAGGCCTGACAACATTGAGTCCAGTTTTGCTCCATGGCCTGCGAGTATGGGACTCTGTTTGCTACTCCAGTGGCTTGCTGTCACCTTCTCTACCCCTGCTCCCAATCACTAATAATCCTCTTTTCGCACTGGGTTTAGATCAATCTAGGGAGTTCTCTTGGTGGGTGGCCAGTGCATTTTCGCAGGTAAGACATTTCTTGACTTCTCGGTCTTTCCCCACCTGGAATTCTCTTCGGGAATCATGGGATGCTCCCTAGGCAGAATTTTTTCTTTATCTTCAATTGCGGCATTGGCTGACCTCTCTGCGTAGCACCTCCACCTTCCCATATCAAAAATCAGCCTTTGAACAGCTTTGCCAACAGCACCGCGGGCCTTGTTTCCCTACTTTATGCAGCCTTCTCGATCATATGTCACTCAATGTGAATGCAAATTGGGGCAGGTTGTGGAATTGGGGGACTGGAATAAGAACTGGTCGCTCATAGCCAAATGTTCATTCAACACAAACACACTGGAAGCGGCATACAAAGTATTGTGTTGATGGTATTTGGTCCCGACTCTTAAAGCTCAGGTGAATTCTACCTATAGCAATTGCTGCTTTCGGGGTTGTGGTAATCGTGGAGATGTGTTACATATATGGTGGTCATGCCCGAAACTGATTAGTTTTTGGTATCGTGTATTCGGCCTTCTCTACACCTTGTTTCATCTCCCCATATGTCGGGAAGCCCGGTATGCCTTGCTTTTCTGACCCATACTGGGCTTGTTGGCTTGTCAGCAGAAGTTGGCCTCTTATTTATTCTTGTCGACAACTAGAACAATTGCTCAGGCCTGGAAGAGGTTCATTTTCAGGGGGTGCGGGACTGGATGACCACTTTGATGCTCAATGAACAGATATCGAGTATTTGTAATGACTCCCAACAAAAATGTTTTTAAATATGGGAGCCGTGGTTGACATATGCTTTTCCCACGCTCCCCCTGGCTAGTCTGGGTTTAGGTTGTTGATCGGTATTGGTGTTCCCAGATCTCTGCTGTTTGTTTTATATTCTTCTCCTTCTTTTACTCTGCCTGTCTTTTTTTGTTTTTTGACTGATTTTTGTGAGGCGGTTGATATCTGCCTTTTGGTTTGCTTCACTGTTGATATTACAACACTGCATCTTTATATTTTCTGTACCATTGATGGCCCCTGCGTGGGCGTGCTTTTTACACTGCTGCCTATGGTATTGTTTCCCTTTTGTTTTTTATGTACCATTGATAGCCCCTGCGTGGGCGTACCTTTTTGCTTACGTCTCTCTTTGTTTAAAGTGTTTAAAATTAATAAAAACAATTGAAATACAAAATAAATGTGAGAATACAAAGGACGTGGAGTGAGATTGTAAGTTTATTTATGAGCCCATGCTGAATTTTTGATAGAAGAGAGTTCAGGAGCTGAAGTTAATTCAAGGCATATGGGGAAGGTACCCCCTGGATCAGTCATCTTTGCATATAAGAATAAACAGTCACACATGCAGGTTGCTCTGCAAAAATACACAGTGCAGATATATCATCATAGTTTCAGTATTCTTTCCCTCATTCCCTTGTAATTTATCCCACAGCACAAGCTGCCTGCCTGCCTCTTTATGGCTTTTTCCATTATTCCTTTTTTATACTTCCCATCAAATCTACCCATATTACAGGATCAATGTACTGTCAGGCACAATTTCAACTCTGCCGTAGGCCTACAATATGCCATAAAACAAAAAAATAAATGTATCTTTCTGTAAGATACAACAAGAGCCAGCTATTCTTAGATGTTGTGGGTGCAGACAGTAAAGGCAGGTTTATACTTTGGCAAGATTGATGTAGACTAAATCTTTCTTTAATTTTTTGCTACTTACTAGCTTGATGCAAACTCCACCCATCCCACCACGACTTCAACCCCTCAACCTGCCTCAACCATCTTGCTCTTGAAGTAGGTGCCTACCCTGCTTGAAATTGGGCATAGATAGCACATCTCACAACTCATACATGGTGTAATAGTACACATCCTTTAAAACATTTTTTTTTTTTTTTTAAGGGAACCTGTCAGGAGTACAATATAGATAACACAGCAATATCAATTCTGGGTTAGTGACTGGAACATGGTGATTGTGTTGGAGTAAACACATGAGGAGATGCTGCTATGTTCACCCTAATATGATCCTCATATTGGGAAGACTCCCAGTGAAGCCAAAACTAAAATATTGTTGGGTTTACTATATACATATTTAATTCATTTCTAGCTCAAATGTATATGGTTACTGTAGATGGCCTGTGTTTATAGGGCAAAAAAATTGTTTTAGAATTTTTAATTATGTTCGTACAGGTCAAAAATGTTTCTGTTGAGATACAATACAGGGGTGATGGAGCATCTGCTTTGTCTGTGTATGTGGTCACGGTACAGACGCTTCTATTGTCCTCCTGAAATGAAATGATCTGAACATGATGAAGAACTGTATTCCCTAGGTAACTGTTCAGCCATTCATAGGAAGCTTTGTATTCTGTGTATAAATACAAAGCTTCCACTGATTGGTTGAGGCAGAGATCATGACATCCACCTGCATCTCTACCTCAGCAAATAAGAGAAAGCATAGAATATAAAGCTTCCTGTGAATAGCTGAGTAACACTCCGCTTGAATATTTTGTTTCAGGAGTGGGACAGGATGTTCCTGTTGCACTGTTGATACAAAGTGCTGTTTACTATATGTAGTTGAGGCTACATACAGTTTATACAACATACCCAGTAAGCACATATGTTTCTGAAGTAAATAGTTTGTTTGGGACAGTTTGGCTCAAATAAACTATATTTTAAAAAAAATGTTGGTGAAATGTTAGATCTTTTGGCCTTCAGCAGCTCTGATTGTTGGTTTCTAGGCCCAGCAGAGTTTACTTTGAGTACCAGTGCTGATATCAGAAGAGTCTTCAAAGCCACAGCGGCCTCAGGTCAGTTGATGATGATAAGAAAAAACAGAGGAGCTGTCTTTTTACAGGCGATAGGTTTATGCTCACTTTATTTAGGTCACCGTAGCTGGCTGCTTTTCCTAGCATGTAATACTTTTTCCTGAAGTTAACTAATCAAGGTCTAAACCCAGTTTTTAGAGGTTTTATGTATTCCTTTCTCAAGAAGCTGGCTGCTACCCTCTCCATGACCATTTTCTTTCCATAGCCTGCTATGTGTCTGCAGTCCTTTGTTCCATGTGAACCTGCTGTGATGTATCTTTGCTTGTAACACAGTGGTTGACGGGTGTGGAGAGCTCTGTTAAACCAGGCCCTTTCAGTTTAAACATGCATGTCTCACTGTGATGGTAACCCTTGGAAATGTCTTATTTTTATATGTTGCCTAGCCAGCTCTTTTAAGTGAGGCAGTTTCTAAGACCTAAACATTCCCTGTGGTGGTTCTACAAAGTTCTACCATGTTTCTAAGACCTATGTCACTCTAGAGCAACTGAAAATTGGCATGCTTACCACCCAACCACCCAATTACTGTAGCACTTCTAATTTGCTAAAATTAACATCTAAAAAATATAGCATAGTTTAAGACTGTAATAATGAATATTGCATTTGATGTTTAATATGGATTATTTTTGTAGGACACAAAATTATGGATTATTATGGAATACCTCGGAGGAGGATCTGCTTTGGATCTGGTGTGTATAATTAAACTTTATTTTTCTAATCCTAAGTATGACATGTTTAATATATCTTTTCATTACAGTCTTTCTGAATTCACAGTTTTTCTCAAAAGTATTCTTTTTATCCTCTCAAACTGCACTTTTTTGACGATTGTAACTGTAGTTGATTATTTAAGTTAGCTAATCGGATGACATCTGAAGGAAACAAATGTACTGCAGACCTATAAATAGACTTGCAGAGGCAATTAATCATTGTCTACTTGTTGAAATAGACTTTTAGATGGACAGCTTGCTGAAAGTTGATGGTGTGCAGCTCTGCATAGACACCAATCATCTTCCAGCTTTTATTGTCAAAGCTTAAGTAAACACGCTGAAGTTAGAAGCTGATTTTCAATTTTCCTGTCGGCCACCATGCACGGCTGCACAAGATTTTGTACTCTCCAGTTTTAATAAATCAACGCCATACTGTTCTTCCTATCAGACATACAAAAACACATAGTTTAGTAACATGCCACAATCGTGGTAGCCCTTACTTCCATTAACGGCCGACAGTAAAATCACAACCAAACTTGGAAATCAGAACAGCCACCATCATCTCAAGCTTGGCTGTGATTTTACTGTCGGCCATTAATGGAATTAAGGGCTACCACGATCTGGTGCAGCTGTGCATGGTGGTCGACAGTAAAATCTAAAATCAGCTTCTAACTTCAGCATGTTCAGTTAAGCTTTGACAATAAAACCTGGAAGGTGATTGGTGTCTATGCAGAGCTGCACCAGATTTTGCACTCTCCAGTTTTAGTAGATCAACTCCTGTATGTTCAAGACATTTTGGTTAGTTGTTGCACTTTTGGAAGGACTCATAATAACTGTGATCTTGTGTACCACACACACTTCTAAAACACTAAAAACAGCTGTGATGCTGTTCTCTGATTGGGCTAGGTGGAGGCAGTGACATCACCGCTCCTCACCTCACTAATCAGAAACCACCTTGTATTCATTGGAAAAAATATAAGGCTTTCTATGAATGCAAGTGATCCCCTGTGGTCAGTATGAAATGGGGCAGCCACTCGCATAGAATCTGAGCAGGGCCTGGAAGATTGCAGCTATCACTAGAGTAGCACCAACTACTACACTGATTTCCCAGCAGTCCATCAGGTTATTAGATATGCATACCCATACCACATGTGCAAAGCTGGACCAATGTAAATATGCAATACAAATAATTCATGGAGCTCAGCTTAAATAAAGGGTGCATATTTGCTACACAATGTGATGGGGTTTCTAAAGGGAGATGCAAAAAGTGCATTAGCTGTTTTCTTTCAAGTTCGCTCTCTGATTAAAATTCATAAAAATCAAGCAAGCATAGATGAGTTGGTAGGTGTCACCTGCTGGCTGTATATGTAATTATGAAATATCTGTATGTAGTGTTTATTATTTACCCATCTAAAATAAAGAAGAAAAAAAATTGCCCCACGAGCACTAATTTCCAGTATGTAAGTATGTACAATTGTTTCTTTTTTGATTGGACCCCCCTAAAGGCAATTGATGTTTTGATTTTCTATAGATATGATGGGAATATCAAAGAAAAGTGAATATTTGAGCAATCTGATTAAAAAAGCTTTCGAAAGCTGGGACTGTCCACTAATGGTGGACTGCCAAAAAAATGCATACAATGTGGATAAATATAACACATAAGGTTTTTTTTGTTTTGTTTTTGTTTTTTTTTGTTTTTTTTATCTAAAACCGGAGAGTGCAAAATCTGATGCAGCTCTGCATAGAAACCAATCTGCTTCAGGTTTTATTTGCAAAGCTTAAAATAAACAAACTGAACTTAAAAGTTGATTGGCTACCATACATAGCTGCAACAGATTCTGAGTGCACCAGTTTTATTAAATCTCCCCCATTATTATTATTATTATTATTATTATTACACAGGATTTATATAGCGCCAACAGTTTGCTCAGCGCTTTACAATATAATGGGAGACAATACAGCAATGATACAGTTCAATACAAGAGGGAAAGGAGGGCCCTGCTCCTTGGAGCTTACAATCTAGGAGCCCCCATAATATTAACAGATAATTATGCAGCTATGTATAGATATTCATTGCTTGCTTGCTGTGTAGGTATTGTAAATACATAAGCATTAATGTAATGTAATATAGAACGTCATATATGGAGAAACCCCGCAATAGAAAGGGACTTTCACGGCACCAGCCTTCATTTTTGGTTTTATCATACATGCTTTTTAGTATAAGATTAGAGGCAAAAAGCTGTAGATCTTTTATTTCTACGCATTTGTCCAGACTTTCCTCTGGGGAAAAAACTCAGTCCTTTTGCTAGAACATTTAGTTTCTTTTGCTGATTAGTGAATGATGAGATAAATTTAATTATATGTAAACCTATTTTTCTGTATTGTGTTCTGTCATATAGGTGTCTATCTTTTTGTTCCCTTTCTTTGTATTGAGAGCATTGTGAGGTTATGCTAAAAATGTGAGCTAATTACATTGTGTTTGAGAAGTCATAATGGTTTCATCGTTCTTTGTGCTTGATAGAGTATCTTTATCAAATGTTGGGGGATGAGGGGGAAACCATTCCATCACCATGTGCATTACCTGACGCCATTACTGGAGGACAACTAAGTGCATGTTTGTGCATCTTCTGAATTTTGCTAGAATGTTCTAGTGTGGGTTTTTTTTTACAAACTTTTTCTTGTAACCCATCACCCTGACAGCTTCTTTTAAACCGCCATGTACCGTTATGTTTGGTTGAAACCTGTGAAGAAATATAAGTAGAGGATGAAAGTGATGACTGAGGAATATTTAAGGAAAGATCCTGTGGGCCCGAAACATTTTTTGTCTTTTTGTATATTTTGACTCTCATTCCATTTATATGCCTTCCCTTCCTGAATGGAATTTCTATCTGTGAAAAACTTGACTCTGAAACTCATTACTACAATACCTCTGCGAATGATTGACACGAGGATGAGATAACCAAAGTATAAACTGTTGTATAATTATGCAATTCATTTCATGTAATGGTGACATAATCAGAAACCGATTTTTTTTATATTTGATGATTTTATGATTATATTTAATAAAGATGCATACAAACGTTTTAATTTACTGGTGCCTTTTAAAGTCCCATTCTGTTGGGGGGTTTCTCCATATATCGCAATCTAACAATTTTTAGGGATGTGGGCCCTTATCCAGGTACTACCACACTATATTTATTTTAAATGTAATTAGGACAGTATTTTGTATCTTATAGTATTCCTTTCTGACCACACCTTTTATTTCCACCTCTTTATTGATTACTTTCTATCATTCTATGTTAGCTCGAGCCTGGTCAGCTAGATGAAACACAGATTGCCACAATATTAAGGGAAATACTAAAAGGACTTGATTACTTACATTCAGAAAAGAAGATCCACAGAGACATCAAGGGTAAAGACATAGCATTGGCATGACCAATAAGTAGTTTCAGGAGATAAGTAATTGCATTAAATATCTGGTGTTTATTTCACAGCTGCCAACGTGTTATTGTCTGAAAATGGCGATGTTAAGCTGGCTGACTTTGGTGTTGCTGGGCAGCTTACAGATACACAGATCAAGAGAAATACTTTTGTGGGCACCCCCTTCTGGATGGCACCAGAGGTGATCAAGCAATCTGCGTACGACTCAAAGGTAAGGAACAGGGTATTTTTCCTTTTTCTTGGGCCTAAATTAATGTTAATTAAAGATCAGAAGTCATGCTATGAATAATGAATCACTGTCTGTACACAATTAGCTTGTGTTCCATTTAAGGGCTGATCTGCTTGTGTTCTGTGGGGAAGACTTCATGAATACTGATGATGGGCAAACCTGTAGAGCAACTTCTGAAATGTGTACACCACTGCCTATTGTGTCTGTCAAAGGCAGTCAGCAGGTATTCTACTTAACTCCAACACAGAATCCTTTCAGAGTTTGCAATCAGGATCTTTAACCATGCCATGGCAGATTGTAACCTTACCACAAGCAGATTTTTTGAGATTTGACAGCATTCAAGTGTGTGCTCAAAATATCTGGCTTGCTCAGTAATTAAGCTGTTAGCTCAAAAAACTAGCTGTGCTATTTTATTCTGCTCACATAATTTTGTGCTTCTGTACAGTATCTGCAATAAACAGAGATACAGGTGTACCTCAGTTTACGAATTTAATGCATTCTCTGGGACGTTTTGTATTGTGAGCAATTCGGAAACTAAAATGCAGTTCCCCATAGGAACGCACTGAAGACCAAATAATCTCTTTCGAAGGTCAGAAAAAAGTAAAAAAAAAAAAAAAGTCGCTGTCACTATAGGTCCGTGCCGGTTTTTAAATGTCATTACCTGCTTTTTTTTTTTTTTTTTTTTTTTTTTTTATAGCTCAGAGCATCAGCTGTCACTTTCCCCCCCCAGCTAAAAGAGAGTTTCCTTTTAGTTTATTTCCCAAGAAACAATGTTTCCTTTTAGTTTGTTTCTGGAGATAAAAGAAACAAAGTATCCTTTAGCCCCCAGGAAAGTGACAGCTAATTCTGTGAGCAATAGTGAAAATAAAACAAAAAAAAAAACGGAAATTGCATTTAAAATTCGGCATCGACATGTGCTTTGTATTACAAAACAAATTCGTAAACAATTTGTAAACTGAGGCATTATTTTCAATGGATTTTCATTTGTAAACCGAAAATTACGTTAACCAAGGCGTTTGTAAACCGAGGTACACCTGTACTTATGTAGGGTTTGTGACCACATTGGCCATCCTATTGCTTTGTGCACAATGGGCGTTTCGTCTCAGATGCCAGCATTTCTTTTGTGGAGGGAGAAGGCACAGGCGCACCTTCAAGCCCTACTGCCAGCAGCCTGTAAAAGTCTAGGAGAGATTGAAAAATGTGGTGGCTGGGACGCTATACTGAGTAGTACTATTGTGTAGGGCCATTTTCACCCAGGGATGAATACTTAGAATACTAGAAGTCTAAAAGCATTGAGTTCAGTTCCATCCTTGAGCTAATCCATAACTTGCCCTACCACAAAGCTGTGAGACATCTTCAAAATACTACATCTTTAGCTTTCGCTGGAGGAGGAATAGATTTGAGAGGGGGGGCAGTTGTTACGGTGACAGCTGTTTAAAGCTGACTACGCACTAGCAGAATTTAGTTCGAGAATTTGTTAAATTTTCTAATTGTTATTGGTGTTAAACAGATGTTCGTTTTTGACCACAATGATGAGAAATTTTGAAGGATTTGAGAGAAGGATTTTCTAATGGTGAGCTTGGGTTCACATGTATGCAGTGTGGGATGCGATTTTGTTCATACAGTGCAGGTGCAATTTCGATTTGAATTGTTAAAATGTATCAGGTTGGAAATCGCACTTGCACCACAATGAAGAGTACAGGACTCTTTTTAAAATCGCACTGCGGCTGGCCCGCATGTATGTGAAAAGCATTTTAGTTCACATATTATGCGAACCTGTGCAGTTCAAATCGCATTGTTTTCGTTCAGGTAAGTCCACTCACTCCAAAATTGAATAATAAAAGCAAACGTCTTTTGAAGTACTTTGAAGTACTTTTTATAATGTCACGTATTCTACTGATGAGACTTTTCATACGAATGTTTGTACAAACATTATTTAAAAAATCTACTAGTGTATGGCCAGCTTAAGAGATTTGCCTCACTTCCTCTTACTACTTATGTCTGTCACAAAAAAGTGAAGGTAGAACTCCCTAGTGGGACACAGTTGGCAAGTAATAACTTGAAAGGTTTTAACCACTTGGATCTATATATACTTTAAAGTAGTTGTAAACCTCAGACATGAAATATGAACAAAACCTATCCCTCTATAGTGTGTACTTGTCTCTATCCAAAGCATTAAGTGTAATTTCTCTCTCTGCTGCTACATTCCTCTATCAGCATGAATCTTCTGACAAGTTTTCCTGACACCAAGAGAAAACATGGTAACAATTGTCACAAGGGAGGGACCACCAGCTTCAGTTTTGTTCCTGTGAGTTGTGTGAAGGGGGTGTGTCTCTTCCCTCCAATCAGCCCTCAGAACTCTCCTCTTTGAGCTCTGCAGTGTTTAATTTCAGCTCTCCGCCCCTTTTTTTTTTTTTTTTTTTTTTTTTTTTTTTTTTTAACTCAGACAAGCTTTCTAAATTTCGCATTTGAATGGATATAGAGAAGAGAAGACTGCAGATAAATGGGTATAACATATGTAGGATGATTTGTTTCATGACTGTGTAATACCTAAGGCCAAGCACTTCACTGGGTGTATGTAAGGGTTTACAACCACTTTTAGACTAAGTGCAGGTTCTGTATTCAAAGGAATTGCCTTAGGGCTGGCCATAGGTGACTTTGTTTTATTTTTTTTTGAACAGCAAGTGTAATTTGATTTGAAAAAAATTAATGGATTCCCCATCCGCAACAGAACAGTGGATGGAGGAATGCTTCCTGTCACGCTGTTCTAATTTTGACAGCAGGACTCCTCTGCTGCCAGAATACACTAATCAGTGACTGCAACTAATGACTGAGAAAAAATGTCAACAAACCTGTTTTGCCAGACATTGATTGTTCGATCCATCTATGGCCAACTTAAGTTGGACACTCTGCTAGGTACAGTGGAGGGGGGGGGCAGTGTAGCTGAGTATAGCTGAGTTGAATAGCTGAGTTGAAATGTAGCATCAAATACAGACCTTCTGGTGAGTATGTGTGTACTGAGCTGTTTTATCAGGAATGTGCTGCTGACTCTCCCCATTGAAGTGTTGGGCACAAACTTTGTATCTGCAGGTGTTTTTCATGAGATGGATTCTGAAATGATATCTAGTCTCAGGAGTGCTTGTGATTAGCTTCACTGTAGCTCTGCTGTAGGCAGGTGTATGTGAGAATAGGTGTAAGGCAATACTGTTGTCTCAATGTGGACATGTTCCTTTGCCCCACTTAATACAAACACACAGCAAAGCTCCTTAACCTGCTAGATTATTTGTTGTGTTTTGGTTACAGGCTGATATATGGTCACTGGGCATTACAGCAATTGAATTGGCTAAAGGAGAACCACCTCTTTCTGAAATGCACCCGATGAAAGTGTTGTTCCACATCCCCAAGAATAACCCTCCTACATTAGAAGGAAACTTCAGTAAACTCCTGAAAGAATTTGTGGAGGCCTGTCTGAATAAAGAACCAAGCTTTGTAAGTTTAAACATTGTTTTCTATTTTGTTTAGTATGTATCCGTAATCACCCAAAAGATAATTCAAAACTCTGAGGTCTCTTTCACACGGGCGGACCCAATGGGACCATGCATTGCCCTGTATGGAGCGGCGGATGTAAACAGACTTGTCCATTTACACTTGCTTGCATCCAATCCTGTATACAGTAAGGAAAATAGTTATTTGATCCCCTGCAGATTATGTAAGTTTGCCCACGTACAAAAAAATGTAGGGTCTATAATTTTTTTTATCATAGGTGTATTTTAAATGATGATGGAGACAGAATATCAATCAAAAATCCAGAAAAAGTACAAGATACAAATGTTATAAATTGAGTTGCAGTTCAGTGAGTAAAATAAGTATTTGATCTCCAAGCAAAACATGACTTTCCGATTATTGCAAATGGTCATTGGTGATTGGTTCTCTAAGTTTTCAAGTGGATAAAGAACAAGCAATATTTGCTTATATAAAGGCATATGTGCAGCCTGGCTACATGATTTAAAGACCTAATTTTGTCATCAGCAGCCAGATACTCACTTTCAATTTCTAGTGCATGAAATCATGAATCTGACTGGTTGCTCAGGGAACAAATGTTATCTTTCAGATTATTTTAAACATGCAGCCTCATTTTTCAGGAAATCTTTGTTTTGAGGAGCATAAAGTTTTTACCAGTAGTTGTGTATAAACTGACTTACAGTGGGGAAAAGAATTGTTTGATCCCCTGCAGATTTTGTAAGTTTATCCACTTACAAAGAAATGAAGGGTCTATAATTTTTATCATAGGTGTAATTTAAGTGATAGAGACAGAATATCAACCAAAAATCCAGAAAAAACATGATACAAATATTATAAATTGAGTTGCAGTTCAGTGAGTAAAATAAGTATTTGGTCTCCAAGCAAAACATGACGTAGTACTTGGTGGAGAAACCCTTATTGGCAAGCACAGGGGTAAGATATTTCTTTTAGTTGGTTACCAGGTTTGTACACATCTCAGGAGGGATTTTGGTCCACTCTTCTTTACAGATCTTTTCTAAATCCTTAAGGTTTCTTGGCTGTTGCTTGGCAACAGGGGCTTCTCCATGAAGTTTAGAGAAGATCTGTAAAGAAGAGTGGACCAAAATCCCTCCTGAGATGTGTGCAAACCAGATAACCAACTACAAGAAACGTCTTACCTCTGTGCTTGCCAACAAGGGTTTCTCCACCAAGTAATAAGTCATGTTTTGCTTGGAGACCAATACTTATTTTACTCGCTGAACTGCAACTCCATTTATAACATTTGTGTCGTGTTTTTTCCTGGATTTTTGGTTGGTTGCCCAAACAAACTATGTCCCTCACTAACATCTGAGGCTGCTGCATGTGCTGAATAAACTGTATGTAGCGGAGGCCATATACTGTATACAGCATTGTGTTCCACTCCAAGCTGAGGCCTTCCTGTCTCAGACCCAGAACACACATAGAGTCTCTGTCGGATCAGCACTCAGCCTTTCAGAGAAAGTGATGTACTATAGCGGAGGTCGGCTACCCACTGATTGCGGTCTACCTGTCGACTGTGGGCAGGTGACAGGTAGACCGTGAATAGGTCCCTCTCCCCCCAGCTTCCTCCGCTGCTGTCATCCTCCATGCACAGCGGAGAGCGGAAAGCAGCACAGCTCAGGACAAAGTGCTGGAGGAGGAGCTGACCAAATGAACTTTTAGGTCGGTCCTGTGGGGGTGGGGGGCCAGAGGTCACTACTGGGGGTGATGAGTAGAGGACACTGCTATAGGCAGGGCCTTCTCTTTCCCTATAGCAGTGACCTCTAGCCCCCCCCCCCCCCAGCAGTGCCCCCCCTTCCCTCATATGGACAGATATTTTCAAAATCTGAATTCCCAGCAAGTAGCTGGGGGTTGGGATTTTCAGAAGATAGAGTTTATTTTTAAACTGATTATTCCCACCAGGCTGCATCTTTTGAGTGAATTAACTACACCCCACAATTCTAACTGAATGACACTGAATATGCTAAAGCACAGTGTATCCTAAACTGTTTTCACAGCTAAGCTGATCTCCACGTTTTTTCAGGCTCTTGTATTCTACAAACAATGTTGGTTGCACTCACTTCTCAGGATTGGTTTACTGATGAGGCAATGGACTATTCCTGCACACAATGTGTGTTGATAGAGCCACTTGTTATCTCAACCAACGAAGTGTGTGACAAGGCGACAATGTAGTAGTAGTAGTTCATTTTGGGGAAGGACATGCTGATGACCCCTTATAGCAGAAGGAACAAGGACCTCCATGACAGAATTGCCAAGTACTCTTTTTTTTTTTTTTTTTTTTTTTTTTTTTTTTTTTACACTAAATTTCACTTTTAGTGAAGTCGTCCTTTACATAAATATAGCCAGCATAGTTAAATACTTTCATCTCCGCCCTGATTCCAAGTCCTCCACCTTCCTTATGGCTTGGCACATCTCAGCCTCACCCTCTGCGGTCCATCATTCTTATGGATGTCTGGGGACCACCATCAGTACACATCATCCTTTAGGAATGTATGGGGCAGTGGCACATGTGCACAGTAGGCAGAGGAGACAGCTGGGATGTTTTGAATGCAAAGACTGTGTGGCTCTGGAAAGGGCAGAACTTGGGAGCATGGATAAAGGTAAGTAATATTTAGTTTAATAGTATTTCGGTATATTTTTCTTTTTTTTTTTAGTAGATTAATTAATCTGGTCACACTTTTAAGGAGTCAGCTAACTGCACCTTTTGCCAACACAGCCTGTGTTACAGACCACTCCTGCATCAATATGTCTTAAACTAAATTTAGGATGCATTAGAAAAATCTTGCTGTCCGTCCGTTCTTTTTGTATGGTTAAAAAATACCTACAAACAGAACAAAGCAACAAGTATACCTCTATCAGTAGAAATAGTTTCAGGATTTGTAACATCCAACATCATAGCTTTTACCTTACAATTTTCCTTATAGAGACCAACGGCAAAGGAGCTCCTGAAACACACAAATTCATTGTGCGGAATGCCAAGAAAACATCGTACTTAACAGACCTGATTGATAGGTATAAGCGATGGAAGGTGGAGCAGGGTAATGAAAGTTCCGACTCTGACTCCGATGGGTAAGTTTATACCCCAGAAGAGAACATTGGTGGTCATCAATCAATTGATTATATAAGACAGGAATCTTATATCTTCATGAATGTCAAACTAGTGTTATCATTACCTGACAAGGCAAGTATGGATCTGCAGGGGTTAAAGCGGAGCTCTAGTCTACTGTTAAAAAATAAAATTCAGTAGCTACAAAAACTGGGGGGGGACGACTTCTGCATCCAATCTCCTAGGTGGGCGGAGCGGAAACCTGTCAAAATTGGGTACCCACTTCCCTGAACTTGCCCTTTTGGGTGGAGCTTTGCTTTAAGTTAGTGTCAGGTTAAAGAGGTTCTAAAGCCTCAAGGTTTTTTTTTTTTTATCTTAATGCATTCTGTGCATTAAGGTAAAAAGCCTTTTGTGTCACTCTTACCCCTCTTATACCTACCTGAGCCCCTGCACGACTCAGCGCTGTGACTTTGCGTTTTCCCTCCACACTGGGCAGGTTGATAGCCATTGACTCCTGTCAATCAACTGCAGTGGAGGGGGCGGGGTCGAGTCCCACTACTGTGTCAATGGGCACAGCAGTGGGGCTCGGTAGCGAGCCCACATAAGTGCCTCCATGGGAATCGGCTTTTTATTGGGGGCACCAGAAAGAGGGGAAGAGCATTGGTGGGGGACCCAAGAAGGAGGATCGGGGCCACTCTGTACAATTCTATTGCACAGAGCAGGTAAGTATAAACATGTTTGTTATTTAAAAAAGAAAATAAAAAATAATTTTACAACCACTTTAAGCTTAAACCGTGTTGGGTAAAGCCAGACCTTGTTTGCTTTAGATTGCATTTTTAATAATTCTTTACAGTGTCAGGTTATTTTGCTGTCTGTCCTGCTGGGGACATTTCCGGTCTTAAAAATGAAAGGAAATCTCTACAAAGTAAATGTAATTGCTATCTTCAAGAGTTTCCAAAGAAGCAGGTGCACAAGAGTGGAGCTAGTGCTCCTGATACTCACAATCTAAATACAAAGCTCCCAAATGCAACTCCTAAACATGTCCACTCAAAACTGCCTCTGTTACAGTGGTAGAAGGACAAGTAGAAAGGGTATATATACCTAGCAGAGTCACAGGCAAAAAAAGGGGTGTATCTATTGACCACTAAATTCAAAACTAAAAAAAACCCTTTTACATGTACACTGTACGTTTGTGTAAAAGGGTATGTAAATCCTAACAATTAACTTTTCCCTCCTTCCTGCCCAGGCCAATTTTCAGCTTTCAGCACTCTCACACTTTGAATGACAATTGCGCAGTTATGCAACACTGTACCCAAACTAAATTGTTATAATTTTGTTCACACAGCTAGAGCTTTCTTTTGGTGGCATTTAATCACCACTGGGGTTTTTATTTTTTGCTAAATTAACAAAAAAAGACCGAAATTTTGGAAAAAATAAACACATTTTTCTTTATTTCTGTTATAAAATTTTGCAAATAAATAATTGTTCTTCATACATTTTAGGCCAATATGTATTCTGCTACATTTCTTTTGGATTGATCAATTTTCAGATATATCCCATAGTTTGCAAACTCTATAACTTTCCTACAGACTAAATAATACTGATATTGTTTATTTTCACCAAAGAAATGTAGCAGAATACATCTTGGCCTAAATTTATGAAGAACAATTATTTATTTGCAAACTTTTATAACAGAAAAAAAGACAAACTTTTTTTTTTTTTTTTCTTTCTTCAAAATTGTTGGTCTTTTTTTGTTAATTTAGCAAAAAATAAAAACCCCAGTGGTGATTAAATACAACCAAAAGAAAGCTCTAGTTGGGTGAACAAAATGATAAAAATTTAGTTTAGCTTTTGTACAGAGCAGCCCTGATCCTCTTCTTTTCGGGTCCCCGCTGGCACTTCTTGCTCCTTTCCCTCAAGCAGTGCCCCACAGAGAAAGTTGCTCTTTGTGCCAATAAGACACATAGAGCCACGGCTCTGTCCCACCCCCCTGCTCTCTCCTCATTGGCCCATTGGCTGTGATTGACACAGTGGTTCCTACAATCTTCCTCTATGCAGTAGGGCAAAAAGGTGTATTTTAATGCTGCCTTTAACCTCAAAGTACCCCCAGTAGGTCAGGAAAAGAACATATATATATGCAGTCATCGGGGTTTTACATTTTATTTTTTAGTTGTCTGTAATATAGACATTTGAGGTGTGCTTTGCACACATGGCTTGAGTAATTATTTTATAAATGGTCAACAGCAATTATTTCCACATACATTAGCAGTCAAAAAATTTATAAGACCCCCATTTTTCCAGTTTTTATTTAAATTTATGCAGGTTAGTGCCTCAATGTATAAAGCACAGAACAAAAAAAAAAAAAAAAAGAAATCATGGAATAATTTTTTTAACAAAATGTAATCTAAATTTTTGACTTCTCAAAGTAGCCTCCTTTCGAAGATATAACAGCTGAACACACTCTTGGCATTCTTTCTTTCTACAACAGAAATCAAATATTGTTTGGAAATTTCTTCCCAACACTGTTGCAGAAGTTCCTACAAATGTGTTTTGCTTTTCTTTTCAACCTTCTGTCGAGTTCATCCCAAACTGGGTTTAAAGTATAACTAAAGGCAAAACTTTCTCTTTTTTTTTTTTTTTTTTTTAGTTTTATAGACTGGAGAGGGATTGAATGCTTGTCAGTTTTTATTGCTGTCTGTGCCCTGTTAAGGAGATTCACCCTCTATTTGTCTCGTTTACCATCATCATTGAAAGTAAAAGAGAATCCCAAATTTTGGGTTGTCCCCAGAAAAGTAATAGAGGGGAAATCTTCCATTGGGGACACTAGTTTTCATGACCTGGGGGTCCCCAAGGAATTCCCTTAAATTGCAGGGATTTTTTCTCACTTCCTGTTTGGCTATGAGACAGGAAGTGAATGGAAATCTCTGCAATGGGACATAGATGGTGAAAAAAGATCTGACTGGTTATAACCCTCCCCTACTCTATCCAAAATGAAAAGAAAGGTTTTGCCAGTAGTTCTACTTTGTCTGGAGACTGTGCTGGCCATTTCATGATTTGAAGCCTTTTGTCTTGTGCCTTTTCTTCTAAGGTAGTTGTGACTCAGTGTGGAGGTATATTTTTGGGTCCATATCATGCTGTAGGATGAACCCCTGACCAACTTGGTGTATTCCAGAGGGTATTGAATGGCACTGCAAAATGCTGTGGTTAATGGTTTTGGTTCAAGGTGCCACTCACTGTCACTGACTCTCTGGATCCAGCAAAAGAGCCCCAGATCATCATACTCCTCTTTAATGTTTGACAGTTGGTGTCACACACTGAGGAACCATCCTTTCACCTACTTGATGGCGTACAAAAACCGTGTGTGTTGAACTACAATTTTGATCAGTCCATAAGCCTTTCTTCAGTAGTTCACTGACAGTGCTTCATGACCCAGGCAAGCCTCCTTTTCTGATTTTGACATCTTAGCAATGGCTTTCTTACACCCTCTTGATGAGTCAGATCTGCAGCTCAAAGTTACGTAGTCTGGTTGAAAAAAGACACAAGCCCATCCAGTTCAACCAATAGTCTTCTCTTCACAGTTGAAACTGAAACCTGCTTGCTTCAGTCATTTTTTAAGCTGTTCTTGAAGTTGTTGTCCTGTGGGCCACCTGTCACACACTCTCAGATATTTGTCTTCTGATTCTGTTGTAACTTTGGGTCTGCCAGACCTCCTCCTGTCAGTTTCCTCCGGTTTCCAAGTGCCTTTGATGGTGTGGGAGACTGTTCTCACTGACACCTTGGCTGACACCCTACACTTTTAAGGGTTATAATGCTCTGCATGTCTTTCTTTTGTCAATTGCCTGCTTCTCGCCATTTTAAGAGCAATCTACTACTTCCTGCAGTACAATACTGTCCAAATATTATATATGGGGGTGTAGTGACACAGCCTGATTCAACATTATACAGACAGAGAGTGTGTAAGTAATCAACAAAAGTTGGAATTATGCATGTGCTTTCAATGCGTAATATACTTTCAAAGTGGTTCTAAAAGCTCAAGGTTTTTTTACCTTCATGTATTCTCTGTACAGCATCCGAGATACTCGCCTAAGCCCCCCTATCAATCCAGCGATGTGTACTTGAGTCTCAGCTATCCCGGGACTCCCTCTCCTCATTGTTTGAGACAGAAGCAGGAGCCATTGGCTCCCAATACTGTCAATAAAAGCCAGTGAGCCAATGAGAAGAGAGAGGGGGCAGCGCTCCATGTGTGCGTGGATACACAGAGCAGCGGGTGCCCTCCTAGCAAGCTGCTTGCTGTAGGGGCACCTGACAGGAGGGAGGGGACAGGAGTGCTGGCGGGGGACCCGAGAAGAGGAGGATGCAAGCTGCTCTGTGCAAAACCACTGCCCACAGCAGGTAATTACCGTATTTTTCGCTCCATAAGACGCACCTGACCATAAGACGCACCTAGGTTTTAGAGGTGAAAAACAAGAAAAAAAAAATATTCTGAACCAATGGACTGCAGACACAGTACAGGGGATGACCAGAGACTGCGGACACAGTACAGGAGATGACCAGAGACTGCGGACATAGTACAGGAGATGACCAGAGACTGCGGACATAGTGCAGGAGATGACCAGAGACTGCGGACATAGTGCAGGAGATGACCAGAGACTGCGGACACAGTGCAGGAGATGACCAGAGACTGCGGACACAGTGCAGGAGATGACCAGAGACTGCGGACACAGTGCAGGAGATGACCAGAGACTGCGGACACAGTGCAGGAGATGACCAGAGACTGCGGACACAGTACAGGAGATGACCAGAGACTGCGGACACAGTGCAGGAGATGACCAGAGACTGCGGACACAGTGCAGGAGATGACCAGAGACTGCGGACACAGTGCAGGAGATGACCAGAGACTGCGGACACAGTGCAGGAGATGACCAGAGACTGCGGACACAGTGCAGGAGATGACCAGAGACTGCGGACACAGTGCAGGAGATGACCAGAGACTGCGGACACAGTGCAGGAGATGACCAGAGACTGCGGACACAGTGCAGGAGATGACCAGAGACTGCGGACACAGTGCAGGAGATGACCAGAGACTGCGGACACAGTGCAGGAGATGACCAGAGACTGCGGACACAGTGCAGGAGATGACCAGAGACTGCGGACACAGTGCAGGAGATGACCAGAGACTGCGGACACAGTGCAGGAGATGACCAGAGACTGCGGACACAGTGCAGGAGATGACCAGAGACTGCGGACACAGTGCAGGAGATGACCAGAGACTGCGGACACAGTGCAGGAGATGACCAGAGACTGCGGACACAGTGCAGGGGATGACCAGAGACTGCGGACACAGTGCAGGGGATGACCAGAGACTGCGGACACAGTGCAGGGGATGACCAGAGACTGCGGACACAGTGCAGGGAATGACCAGAGCTCCCGCGGAGTTGTCCTTCCCTCTTCTTCCCGGGCCGGCTTCTGTGACAGCCAGGTGCCCACTGCGCATGTGCGAGAAGCGCTGCGCTTTGTGAATGGCCCGGCGCCTTCTGGGACCTGTCATGTGTCCCAGAAGACACCGGATCATTCACAAAGCGCAGCACATGCGCAGTGGGCACCCGGCTGTCACAGAAGCGGGAAGACTGTGCAGCGCTGGAGCGAGGAACAGGTAAGGCCCTGCAGGAGACAACAGCTGAGCGGCCGGCCCGGTATTCTGACATGTTGGCCGCAAAAATACCGGACCGGCGCTTTATATTTGCTCCATAAGACGCACTGACATTTTCCCCCCTTTTTTGGGGGGAAAAAAGTGTGTCTTATGGAGCGTAAAATACGGTATAACATGTTTGTTATTTAAAAGAAAAAAAAAAAAGCCTTTAGAATCACTTTAACATCGATGCAGAAAAACTATTACTACTTCCCTGAAAAAGGCCATTATGTATAATTCTGAAACATACATTATTTTTTGGATTTTTGTTAACCCAAACTTTTTTTCCATCCCTAGCAGTTTACTGCTTTCCTTTGTGCCATTTCAGGTTATTCACTGGACTGTTTTAAATTTCAATAAAAACTGGAAAGATGGGGTGTTCTAACACATTTGACCAGTAGTGTATCTATACAGAACTCAACACACATTTTTATCTGATGACAATGCATAATAGCAGGACTGCTTTGTACTTACACTTCCTTTATAAAAAAAATATGGATGTCTGTTAGATGCAGCGCAGCGTGCCACACAGGTGCTGGTCAAATATCTTATAAAAGGTTTATTGTATTGCTAACACATTGACATTTACCTCATTTACTGGTATAGGTATTTTTTTCTTTTGATAAAGACTCGTTCTTGCTGAAAAGCCTTTTCCACATCAACAAAGACATTTTTATTTCCTGCAGTAAAGCAGTATAGTTGTACTCTATTAATGTGAAATCTGTGTATGTGTACCCGGTGGATGATTTGGAACCAGACCTGCAGTCACTGTGGGTTTTCAGTTTGTTAAAGATTGCTGAGAAAGCAGAAAATGTAGCGGCGTTCTTTGAACAGCTACTAGCTAGTTCTCATATTCTTTTCTATCACTGCTGATGCACAAATGCCCATACCAGATTTGAAAAGCATAAATCTACTGTTCTCATTCTTTGGTGGCAATAGGTCTTGTAAGATAACATTTTTTTCTTTTTTTCTTTTTTTTTCTATTTATTTGAAGTGACAGTGATGAGGAGCGGTCAAGAGAATCTGATGGTGTTAAGAATTGGATTTTTACAATTCAAGAACCAGACCTGAAGAAAATGAAGGATGAAGCTATGCAACTTGAAAACACAGAAAAAAGTGAAGTGAGTTAATATACAGGTGAAACTCGAAAAATTAGAATATCGTGCAAAAGTTCATTTATTTCAGTAATGCAACTTAAAAGGTGAAACTAATATATGAGATAGACTCATTACATGCAAAGCAAGGTAGTTCAAGCCGTGATTTGTCATAATTGTGATGATTTTGGCTTACAGCTCATGAAAACCCCAAATCCACAATCTCAGAAAATTAGAATATTGTGAAAAGGTGCAATATTCTAGGCTCAAAGTGTCCCACTCTAATCAGCTAATTAAGCCATAACACCTGCAAAGGGTTCCTGAGCCTTTAAATGGTCTCTCAGTCTGGTTCAGTAGGAATCACAATAATGGGAAAGACTGCTGAGCTGACAGTTGTGCAGAAAACCATCATTGACACCCTCCATAAGGAGGGAAAGCCTCAAAAGGTAATTGCAAAAGAAGTTGGATGTTCCCAAAGTGCTGTATCAAAGCACATTAATAGAAAGTTATGTGGAAGGGAAAAGTGTGGAAGAAAAAGGTGCACAAGCAGCAGGGATGACCGCAGCCTAGAGAGGATTGTCAGGAAAAGGCCTTTCAAAAGTGTTGGGGACTTTCACAAGGAGTGGACTGGGGCTGGAGTCAGTGCATCAAGAGCCACCACACACAGACGGATCCTGGACATGGGCTTCAAATGTCCTATTCCTCTTGTCAAGCCGCTCCTGAACAAACAACGTCAGAAGCGTCTTACCTTGGCTAAAGAAAAATAGACCTGGTCTGATGCTCAGTGGTCCAAAGTCCTCTTTTCTGATGAGAGCAACTTTTGCATCTCATTTGGAAACCAAGGACCCAGAGTATGGAGGAAGAATGGAGAGGCACACACTGCAAGATGCTTGAAGTCCAGTGTGAAGTTTCCACAGTCTGTGTTGATTTGGGGAGCCATGTCATCTGCTGGTGTTGGTCCACTGTGCTTCATTAAGTCCAGGTTCAACGCAGCCGTCTACCAGGAGATTTAGGAGCACTTCATGCTTCCTTCCGCAGATGAGCTTTATGGGGATGCTGACTTCATTTTCCAGCAGGACTTGGCACCTGCCCACACTGCCAAAAGCACCAAAACCTGGTTCAATGACCGTGGGATTACTGTGCTTGACTGGCCAGCAAACTCGCCTGACCTGAACCCCATAGAGAATCTATGGGGCATTGCCAAGAGAAAGATGAGAGACATGAGACCGAACAATGCAGAAGAGCTGAAGGCCGCTATTGAAGCATCCTGGTCTTCCATAACACCTCAGCAGTGCCACAGGCTGATAGCTTCCATGCCACGCCACATTGAGGCAGTAATTGCTGCAAAAGGGGCCCAAACCAAGTACTGAGTACATATGCATGCTTACACTTTTCAGAGGTCCGATATTGTTCTATGTACAATCCTTGTTTTATTGATTGCATGTAATATTCTAATTTTTTGAGATTGTGGATTTGGGGTTTTCTTGAGCTGTAAGCCATAATCATCACAATTATGATAAATCACAGCTTGAACTACCTTGCTTTGCATGTAATGAGTCTACCTCATATATTAGTTTCACCTTTTAAGTTGCATTACTGAAATAAATGAACTTTTGCACGATATTCTAATTTTTTGAGTTTCACCTGTAATTACAAAAATACATATACAGTATATTTTTTTATGTATTTTAAAGAAGGATGGGAAGAGACCTGTGCTATATTGGCAGGAAAACAGGAGGTTGGTATTGTGAGTGCCTGGAAAAAAAACCCCATATATCCCCTTAAAAAATCATCCAAGAATGATAAGATTGGGCTGTTTTTTGTCACCCATAAAATTATAATGGTTATTGGCAATTTATGGCTGAAATCATGATTATAGTATGCCCATGGGTACCGTTAATACATACAAACAGGGAGGCTAGGCTCCACTTCAGATTTCTCTTTTGTTCATTGAACAACATACAGTAGCTTTCTCATTTCTTTATGATTGTTATACTGCCACCTGCAGGAGTAGGCCACTTGAGGGGAAATTTGCCAAAACTGGTGCACAGAGAATCTGGTGCAACTCTGAATAGAAACCAGTCAGCTTCCAGGTTTATTGTCAAAGCTTAATGTGAGATGCTGATTGGTTACTATGCACAGCTGCACCAGATTCTGTGTGCAACAGCTTTAGTAAATCTCCCCCTGAGGTTTCTCCTGTTTGTGAACCTGGCAGACCAACTGATCCAGGATGTTGTGTATGTGTGCGCTGCGGCATTGAATACCAGCTCTCTGGACTATAGGTCTCTGCTGTAGTTCTTTGCGTGCTCCTCTGACTCATGTGTTGGTCTGCAGACCATTCTTCCAAAAAAGGTTTTAGCTGAGCTTCTCATACCTTGAATACACTTGTTTTGGGTCAGATCATTAAGAATCTCACAGGGGGCAAGGTTACCTTCCTGCCTCATACCAAGACGTTAACGACCCAGTGAGGCCCTACCCTTTTCTGTTCATAAGCAAGCAATCAGACTGTCGCATACAGACAGCTTTTCCTACAGAGCAACAAAAGGTAGAAATGGTTGCGTCATCTACTTGTAACTTAAGCTTTACATATTTGATGTATCTCTGAATGTTAGCATTAGGTGTAGGTTTCTGCAGGCAGAGATTTAATGTCTTTACTTTAGGTTCTATATTGCAAATGTTTGCAAGTTTTTGTTTTTGCCCTTCCCTCTAAGGGTCCTGCTTGTAGACATCCCAATTGTAAACCTAAGTTTGTCAATAACTGAAAGGGGAAATAGGAATTTTTCTGTGCGCTCTGTAAAATTATTTTCTGAGTTTGTTGACTTGCATAGATCCCATCTGTTTTTGATGATTGTTACCTCTATAGGTTGGAGTGCTTTTCTCCCGTTAACTGCTTATTCACTAACTGAGCTCTTCATCAAGTGAAGTTTGGCTATCAGCAGTGGCCCCTCCTAGGATGAGCTTTTTTTTTTTTTTTTTGTTCTGTACCTAATGTCCTATACCTACAGGTAGCAGTAAAACCCAATCATCAAGAACAGAGAGACCTATGTTGAATTCGGAAAAAATTATTTTTATGACGAGTACAAAAAGACTCGTGTTTTTGATTGCCTGTATTCTGTAGTTTGAAGACCTGATTTTTTTCCTTACTCCTCCCCATAATCTGTTTAATAACATTCCCCATCATGATGCTCCGTGCTGGAGATAACTTAACAAATATTCCCCTTTGACAGTCACTAGCCAAAACTTTGCATGGCTGTTGGCTCTCAATCTCGGCTGTCACTGACAATTGGGAACCAATTAGAGTGGTTCCTGATCATGCTATTACTATGTATACATAAAAACATATTAATATATGTTCCTTCTTCTCTGCTTTTTATTTTTTCAAAAGGTGAAAGACATCCAGAAAAGGCCACAATCACAGTGCTTGTCTACAATTATGACACCTTTATTTAATGAGGTATGTAATATGTAATGTGATCACTGCTACTGGCAAAGAATGTGGACATTTATTATTTTCTTACTTCCTTGGGTGTAAGGTTGGAATACACACCACAGCAGCACTGCATGTACATACCTCCTACTGGCTTGTGGCCTTACAGAGGTATTTGTTTAATTTACAATATGAATTCTCTGTGCTAAAATAAGGTCTGTCTTGGAAAAGTGAAGCTGGCCATATTCATGGTGATTACTTCATTGGAAGCTGGGTCCCTGATGTTAAAATGCTCTAGCATACTCTATATGTGACAGGTCTGTACTTTATGATTGTAGAAGCACAGCAAACAAATGTAGATTCGAAATCAGATTTTCAATTCTGTCCTTGCAAGTAACAGAAGGCACATTGATTCATCCAGACAAGTTCAGCGTTGGTTGCCTGTAACTGCAAATTAGGTTTGAATCTGCCTCCTCTGACTGATAACCCTCAATGTAAGATCATACTAACGCTAAATATACATTTCTTTTTTTATTAATTTGGTAACACACCTCTGGGGGGGGGAAAAAGAACATGCTTTTTACACTAATGTTACTCCAAGATGTTGCTTTCACTCACAGTGGTTATGTACATACAGTGTGTATGTATACACTATATTGCTAAAAGTATTGGGCAAGCCCTCCAAATCATTGGATTCAGGTGTTCCAATCACCTCCATGGCCATAGGTGTATAAAGTCAAGCACCTAGGCTTGAAAGAATGGGTCGCTCTCGGGAGCTCAGTGAACTTGGTTCCAGTGAAGGGAACTCTTAAGGCATCATCATACCAAGACATTTTGGACAATTTCATGCTCCCAACTTTGTTGGAACTGTTTGGGGATGGCCCCTTCCTGTTCCAACATGACTGCGCACCAGTGCACAAAGCAAGGTCCATAAAGACGTGGATGAGTGAGTATGGGGTGGAGGAACTTGACTGGCCTTCAGAGTCCTGACCTCAACCTGATAGAACACCTTTGGGATGAATTAGAGCGGAGACTGTGAGCCAGGCCTTGTCGTCCGACATCAGTGCCTGACCTCACAAATGAATGGTGAAACATTTCCATAGACAAATTTCTAAACCTTGTGGACAGCCTTCCCAGAAGAGTTGAAGCTGTTATAGCTGCAAAGGGTGGGCCAACACAATATTGAACCCTATGGACTAAGACTGGGATGCCATTAAGTTCATGTGCATGTAAAGGCAGACGTCCCAATACTTTTATATATAGTATATGCATATACTGTATACAGGAAAATTGATTTGACTACAACTATAACAGCCTTTTTACATATATATTACACTTCTCAAAATGTCCTTTTTTTTCAGTAACTTATTGACCTCTATAAAGAGATCCTGTTCTTTTCCTATGCATGTCCTTTTCCCCTACCACATATATTTCCCTTCCGTTCTCTCCCTTAACTTGCTGTTCAGCTGCCAGGAGTGAGAGAAAGGTATGTATTTACTGGGGAGAGGTGGGAGGAAATTAAAGTATAACTAAAGGAAATATTTTTTTGTTTTTGTTTTGGATAGACTACGGATAAGACTGATAAGTCCCCTGTCGGGTTTTATTGTTGTCTGTGCCCCCATTAGGGAGATTCACCGTCTATATATGTCTTATTTACCGTTATCATTGAAAGAGAAAGTAAAAGAAAATCCCAAAATTTGGGTTGTCCCGAGAAAAGGCAATATCTTCCAATGGGGATACTAATTCTGGTGACTTGCGGTGGGGGGTGGGTCAAGAAATTCCCTTAATTTGCAGAGATTTTCTCTCACTTCCTTTATGGCTATGCAACAGGAAGTGAAGAGCCATCTCCCCAATAGGTTTTAGATGGCGAAAAACATCCGACAGGGGTTTTAACCCTCCCATTCCTCTATCCAAAATGAAAAAAAAATGTTTTGCCAATAGTTCTACTTTAACCTATTCAGAATGATAGAGATACATCCTAAAAAAAACTTCGATAACATTTTTAGGACACATCTCTAATGTTCATCTCGTCTCCCACAGCTGCCGATTTTATCATGCCACTACTACCACTCTCTACCACTCTCTACTACTATCTACTACTACTACTTCTATCAAAATGACAGCTAGACAAGGCTATTCTATACGCAGCAGGAGCGGCTGTAAGAATGCAGCTACTCCTTTGTAAAAAGACACTCGAAGATAGCCTGCCAGTGTCATTGAGTAATAATGTAACTGTGCTATTTCATTTTATTTACTATTCCATTTATATGTAAATACAATATTTGTGACATTGATCTGTTTGACATCAGTTTAAGAATCCTTGCTAATTTTTTCTTTTTAATAAAATGTATTTACTTTACCTCCTTTTAAACTCTACATTAACTGTAATTCATTAACTAACTTCCCATAGGTATTATTTTTCTGCTGATTTTGATTTATTTTTTTTTAAGTGTCTATTTTTGATGTTATGTGACTACTTTTTAAACTAACACTGTTCAAAACAAAAAAATTAAATGTTTTTTTTTTTTACATATTTTTATTGATTCTTGATTCTTGATATTGATTCTATGGAAAATAAAATAACTTTTGCAAAACAATACTGCCAAGCAGTTTTTGTTTATTACTTTATCTTAAATAATGGCAAAGTTATCGACATATAACCAAGCCCATAGTGGAAATGTAAACATTTCCCTAGTTCATAAGGGGTATAGAGGTACAAGAACTGAAGTGGCTAAAGCCTGCCTATGCATAGAAAAGCAAAACGTATTGCTCTTCTATGTAACGGCAAAGCACAGGTTCTTTTTTTTTTTTTTTTTTTTTTTTAAGTCAATCAGTGCTCATGCATCTATTTTGGAGGGTAAGAGAAAGATGTGTAGTATTTTGACATTTTACCCTTCAGCTATTTGATTGTGTATGGGTGTGTGAATAGTAATAGCCGTGTCCATTTTTTTTTCTATTAGTTAAAAGAAAGGAGTCAAGCATCCGGTGGCAATGTAGGGTCCATAGAGGAACTGTATGGTGCGATTTACTTAGCAGAAGAGGCCTGTCCAGGCATCTCTGACTCAATGGTGGCAGAGCTTCTCATGCGACTTCAAAGGTAAAAATATACATTATCATACTAGAGAACTGGGGGAATTCAAAATATAGTGGATGTGTATAGTGCTATTTTCATGGATTGACTCTGACTTTAGTCTGTTGACAAACCACAAAAACATTATAGAATCATCCTTTGTGCAAAAAAGCTCTAGATTCAGATTCTATTTCCAGTTGAGCAATCGAAGTGAAGGAGGGCTGCAGTTGGCATTCTGGTTAGTACATGATGAACAAAATGATTTATATTGATGGTTTGGGTGTAAAACAGCTTGGGCATACTGAGTTGTGGGGCAATCTTAAGGAAAACTCACAACCTGACCACAAAAACATAAATGTAGAAGCTGGCAACGCTAAATCCCAGGAGCCTAAACAAGGGCACGGACAAATGACGGATTTTTCTGGATTTGGGAAATCATCCCCTAGGTGCCTCCTGTATTACCATATCCCACTTTGTGAGCTCTCGTTAGGATTCTTTAACTCTAAAATCCGCTCTTTCACTGCTTTCCAATAGCACAGATAGAAGCAGTGCATCCGGATTGACCCAACCTTGGTGACAACTTGGGAGCTGTCCTCTACGGCCTGTAATGTTGCTTCAGGCACTGGATCCTGAATGGGTGCTCACCTTTTATATTTTGTGTAACGTGTTGTAGTCCACTACAAGGTGTTATACAGGTCCTGGGCCATAGTCCATTGCTATGGAGCCCTGACCCAGAAGACCCCTTTGGGGATATGCTTAATGTGACTTGCGAAGCCTGGAATTTAGAATCATGAATTGGTAAGAGGTGGTCCCCATGTTCCCTTGACTGTTACTGTAAAAACTGTGGTTATGTTTGGAAACTGATCACTTTGCAGTGTAAAGTTTTCAAACTTGGCACTAAAATTTAACCAATTAGAACTTGCCTATTGCCCTTTTAAGGTACTTGGGTGCTTCCTTCCACCCTTTCGTCACAGGACAGTCTATACCTGGGCTTTTTTTTTTTTTTTTCTTGCTAATAGGTAAGTATGACAGTTCTGTTAATTTAATGCGACTTTGATGTGACTTTACACTCTCCTGGCACTCAAGTAGCATCAAAGTCGCATCAAAGTCAATACTTTCCTATTGGCAAAAAATACATGCAAAACGCAGCGTGTTCAAAAACACAAAATGCATGAATCCCAACACAGAGGTGTGAACCTAGCCTAAAAGGGCACTTACAGCAAGTAGCCTGAACTCTGCTTTTTTTTTTTTTGTTACGAATTCATTAAACATGCTACAGGAGAGAAGGTTTTATTTCTACATCGTAATATTCTGGAACTCCTCAGGAGCCTGTACCACTTCCAGTTCAGTGCTTCCTTTTGGCACAAGACTTGGGCTACAAACCTCACTAAGTTTTCCCCAAAGCCTTGTACCTCATAAAGGGGCACGAGGGGGGGGGGGGGGCGGCACAGCTGTTAGGGTTTAGTTTTCCTCTCTCTGGGTCACAGATGTCCCTAACCTGAGGGTTCAACCAGTGGTGTCAAAGGGGTACAAAATAGAGTTGAACACTCTACTCCCTTGCCACTTCTTTCAAAATCAACCAGAAACTACCCAAGGACAGTTAGATTCTTGGCTTAAAATTCCTCAACAAATACCTTCAGGTTCCAAATTTGTGCATTAAACCACAAGGTCGGTAACTGCTTTCCTAAGACGGTAAAACCTGTCATCTGTAGACATCCAGGATGCCCATCTACATATTCCCAATTTTCTACCTCATCTGCACTTTTTGTGTTTGAAGTGGCAAACAACCATTTCTAATTTGTTGCACTGCTCCTCAGCCTATGCTCTGCTGCCAGATTATTCACAAAGGTCCTTGCATGTCTCAGAATTTAAGGTATCCAAGCCACAGGTATAATCCTTCTCTACTGAAGTATTTATTTCCCTTACATCTGTCTGAAAACAGCCATAGGACTATTCAGGTGTTCCATGCCTTTGGTTGGGTAAGCAATTCCCAAAAATCTACTATCCAGCCTTTTATTCACCAGGATTACTTGTGCCTGGTCCTGGCCGCACTCTAAGCAAAGGTTTTTCTTTCCAGAACCAAACATTATTTCTCTCTGAACTCGCACTCAAAATTTTAGATCAAATTTCATTTGAGACCTCTCCAGCACAACACCTTATCAACCTGGAACAGATCTACTCAACATCCTGGAGCTCAGAGCTATACAAATGGTTCTGCAATATTGAATGCCCCCTTCTACAAGGACACCTAATCAGTCAGACAATACCACAACTGTGGCATACATCAGCCATCAAGGGGGCCACCAGGAATCATTCAGCCTTGAAGGAAGTAAGCAGATAATATCCACATCCCAGAAGTGGACAGGTGAAAAGTACAGTTAGGTCCATATATATTTGGACAGAGGCACAATTTTAGTTTTTTTTTAGGTATTTACCAAAACATATTCAAGCTATAGTTATATAATGGATATGGGCTGAAAGTGCACACTCTCAGGTTTAATTTGAGAGTATTTACATCTAAATTGGAGGAAGGGTTTAGGAATTACAGCTCTTAAGAGTAGCCATCCCACCATTTTCAAGGGACCAAAAGTAATTGGACAATTGAATATAATCATAAATAAAATGTACATTTTTAAAATTTTGTTGAGAATCCTTTACTGGCAATTATTGCCTGAAGTCTGGAACCCATGGACATTACCTAAGACTACGTTTCCTCCTTTCTGATGCTTTGCCAAACTGTAGCTGTTTTCAGTTGTTGTTTGTTTGTGTTACTTTCTGCCTTTTAGTTTTGCCTTCAGCAAGGTAAAATGCATGCTCAATTGGGTTGAGATCAGGTGATTGACTCGGCCATTGCAGAATATGCCACTTCTTTTCCTTCAAAAGTTCCTGGGTTGCTTTTGCAGTCTGTTTTGGGTCATTGTCCATCTGTACTGTGAAGCACTGTCCAATCAACTTTGCTCCATTTGGCTGAATCTGGGCCGACGGTATATCTCGAAACACTGCAGAATTCATCCGGCTGCTTCTGTCTTCTGTCACATCATCAATAAACACCAAGGACCCAGTGCCACTGGCAGCCATGCATGCCTATGCCATCACACTGCCTCCACCATGTTTTACAGATGACGTTGTGTGCTTTGTTTTTTTTTTTTATTTAAATATTTATTAAATTTTTCATGTTAATACAAAAACCCAAAAAGGTAAATAATTCTCATACAAATAGACATTTATAGCATTTCTACCTTTCCCTTACTAAAAACTTTTTTCTTTCCCATCCCACTACCCCCCCTTCCCGCCCCTCATCCCCCCTCCTCCCCCTCTGCAGACTCTAGCCCTTTCTAATCTCTTGAGGCTTATTAAATTTTTTGCTAACATCCTAGTTCATATTTTCCTATATTTCTCTTTCAATCCTGCTCTTTCCCACTTTTCCCATCTCCTAATATAAACTCTCAT